TTAACAATTATATCAACTTTAAATTAAATTGTTTATCAGTAATTACGCATTTTAATATTTAATAACATTTTAAGAAGTTATTAATTTAAATCATAAATTTAAAGCTATAAATTTAAAACCTAGATCATTTAAGAAAAAGAATAAAATCAATTAATATAATTTCAATGTCTTTATCAGACTTATTAAAATTTATTCTTGAAGTTAACTGCAATATTATTATTGTTTTACATTCATTTGAATAAAATATACAGACTCTTGTAAAGAGTTTTTTTATATTTAGGTTGTTTATAACACTTCATTTTACGAAGTTGCAACTGAAATTTTATTTATTTTAATTTCAATTTACGATCTGTATAAAACCCAAAACAGGAAATTTCTTTATTTTTATGATTTTATTTTTTAATTTTTATATTACTATTTTTGTTACTTAACATCTTATAATTGTCTTTTTTTTAAGTTTTATGTCTTTTAAGATACGGGAAGCGTTTCTAATGGGGTTCGGTGATAAGGCTTATTTATGCCTACTTTTTGCTTACGTTCGTTTAGATGTGCTAAGTTATTATACACAAACGGATTGTCAATTACAAGCATTACAACTTTAAAAATGGCTACGTTAAAAAATGGCTTTAGATAGCAAGAATTTATCTTAGTATCTAAAGCAATAACATATTTAAAACTTTACTTAGTAGTCATTTGTATACATTTTTTGTAGAATAAAATAACTATAAAGATGATTGATAAATAAATGATAAAAAACAGTATTAAGATGTATTAGTATATAAAAAAAACTGTGATTCTATGCATTTTAAACTTAAAACCGTGACTTGTAAATATTTTTCAAACTCTTTTTCTAAAAATAAATGCGTGACATTTTATTAATTTTTAATGAAAAAAATCCTAACTTAATTTGGAATTGCTTTAAAAATCCTAACTTAATTTGGAATTCGACCTAAGTAATTTTTTTTTACTGAATAAATATAAAGTTTACCAAACACTTAATTTTTAGATATATGATATATTTAGATTCATGTATATAGTTAAAATTATTTTTTTTATAGTTATATGTGAATGATTAAAATGTATATAATTGACTAAAAAGCCAAGTGACCTATGTCCAATAGGGGTGGTATAAAAATATTTTTTTCAGATATAATTGCCTAAAAACTTTTGTTTTTAAGGTGATAATAAAAAAAGTCAATATTTTTAAGTTTTTTTAAAATAATTTATTAAAACATGTTTTTTATGTAAATTGATCATTATTTTTGAAGTTTTTATATAATTTTGCTTATATTGAGTACCAAGTTGACATACTTTTAAAAAACTTTTTTTTTTCAAAACATTAGGGACCTGTCAAATATTTAAAGGTCTTGAGGCACCCCTAAAAATATTTTTTATTCAAAAAAATTTTAAACCTACTGTTTTTGTATTATATAGAACACATTTAGTTATGAGCAGGAGACTATTTTTAAAAACTTGGATGCTCTAAAAGAACTCAAAGAAATGAAAGATATGAAGATAAACTAGTCAATTTTCTTTAACTAATTTTGAAAAAACAAATACTGAAAAAAAGTTTTCTAAAATCTTTCAAAATTGATTCCGTAACATAAATGTTTAACACAAAAAGAAATTGATTACATTGCTATTTTCGAATGGAAATCTATTACTTTTAATGTAATCCCTAAAATTCATAAATGTAATGAAACTCTTAAAAAGGTTCCAAAATCTAGCTCTCTATTTATCAAAATGAAACCACCAAGAGATTTAAAAAGTTGGCCCATTATTGATGGAATAGAAAAAACAAAATTGCATCTAAGTCAACTTCTTCACATAATCATATCTCCTATTGTAAAGAAACAGAAGACTATTGTAAAAGATGGGATTTTTAAAGAAAAATTGCTAGAGTAATGGATTCAGATAGTTTCATATTAACTTGTGACATTGCAAATTTCTACACAAGCATTCCACATAATGTTGGTCTACAAGCATTAAAATTCTGGGTTGAAAAAAATAAAAAAAAGTATACATACGTTTTTAGATATACGTAATATAAGAGCTGAAAGATTTACCGCTGATTTAATCATAAACTAAGCATCTTTCATTTATAAAAAACAACAATTTCTACGTTGACGCTCAATTATTTCGCAAAATTACAGGAACAGCCATGGGCACAAATTATGCACCAGACTATGCTTGACTTATAATCGGCTTTTTAGAAAAACCAATGCTTTTTCCATAAATCTTACCAACATATTTTTAAAAGAAGAAGTTAAAATTATTGAACAGTTTTATTTTAGATATTTTGATGATGGTTTCAACAAATTGCCAAAATGTCTAGATATTGCTAATTTACAAATATCCTTCACAAAATGAAATGGTTTATTTAGTTTTACAATTGATTTTGTCATCAAATTCAAATAATCTTTTATAATCGTTTTTTATCTGATTATGCTACGGAAAAACTACGTCTAGCATAACTTAAAATATGGTTAAAAGAGCGTCATTACCCTGATTTTTTAATAGCAAAAACGTTTTATAATGCAAAGTTACAAGGGCCAGTGCTAATAAAACAACCGAAAGTAGTTTTTCCTTTACTAACTTCTTTCTATACCATTTTAAACTGCCAACCAATTTAACTGAAACTGATTCTTTTAGTTAGCTTATTTGATAATAAAAGAGTAAAAGAAAATTCTTTTTAAGTATTTAATAACTGATTGTTTACAAACAACCAGTAAACTTACTAAGACAAGTACCGTGCTCAAATTTTCACTCTACATTATCTATTGAAAAAGTAAGGCTATTAAATGCAAAAACAGTCAATGTAAAATCAGCCTGTTATATTTACAAGATCAGCATGTTATATTTACAAGAAAAGTTTGAGACTTATCTAATGGCACTATTTGAAACATTAAAAGTCACATTACATTTCATAGCAAAAATATCATTTATTATCTAAAATGCTTATCATGTAATAGACTAGGTGCCCTGAGAAGTTCTTACGATCTTATCACACAAATATTAACTAATATTTAAAAAATTGTTTAAAAAGCTTAAATTATGTTCATTATTTTTTGAATGGCTAGGAGTTTCATTGGGAGTGCCTTTATTATTAATCCTTGGACCATATATTTTGACACATTTATAAAAAAAAAATTGTATTTTAAAGACTTGAGGGTTTGCAATTTTGTTGATGACAATACTTTTTTGTTTTGTCAATAATACCTTAGAGCATGTTATTTTTTAATTGTAAAACAAAACATCAAACTCTATTGAATGGTTTAAATTAAACTATGCAATCGTGGATCCCAAAATATTTCAATTACTTTTAATTGGTCTAAAATACTCAAACATCCAATTTTTAATGGTTGGAGTGGATAAGACATTTGTTTCGGATTAAATTAAACTACTTAGGTTACAATAGATTAAAACGTTGATGATTACATTAAAGTGCTACGCAGAAAAGGTAATAATGAGTGCTTTGCTTTTCTCGTATTAAAATTTTTCTATATTAAAAACAAGTTATTTAATATATAAATTCTAACACATATTTGTCTGACTTTTTAAACTGTCCTTTGATTTTGCTAAAAAACAATGACAAACTCATTTAAAAATACAAAAAAGCACTCCATATATTTAATAAGAGATATGACTTGTCTTTGGATAAACTTTTAAAATTAGAAAAAAGCCCGAGAATCTTCAAAAATTGCAGTTTCTTGAAATTGAAATTTTTAAAAACCTTAATGGTTCAAGTCTTCTATGAAAGATTTATTTATAAAGGAAAATTTACCATTTCAACTAAGATATTGCAAAAATTTGATTTTACTTTATTTATCAGATTTTAGAATAGATAATTACTTTGTTCAGTTTCTTAAATGATGAAATTATCAATACTATCACCTAAATAACATAGCTATAAATACCATGTAATTTATAGCTTATAATTTTAATTACTGATAAAACTTATTTTTGAATTCTCTAGTTTTAAGTTAAAAAAAAATTAAATTGTCAATAATTGTCAATTTAATTTATCTTTATATTAACTTATCTCAGTGTTTTAATACATTTCATATATACACTTTGGAGAATAAAGTATCATTTATATTATAAAATACAATAAAATATTGAAACAGTGGTGTTGATCGAAAGTGCCGCCATTATAGCCATGTTTGATAATAGTTTTCTTCAAAACTTCAATTATTGAAGTTTTGAAAAGTGAAGAGAAATATTTTTTTTTATATCTAATAGTTCCATAATTTGTCCTCAGTTTGAAATTAAAAATATTTGCTTTTGAGTGAAAGAAACGATGTTTATTTTTTCTATTTTAAATATATTTATTTCTAATAATTCTGAAAGTATATCTTTCTTTGCTAAGTAACTAAAGTCAGTGTTTACTTAAAACGATTATATTAATTTTAATTTATTATCATTTTACAGGTTTGTCTCACCAAACAATCTGTATCCCGTTATTTTATTATAATTATTTGCAATTATTAGAATTTATTCATAATTAATCTATTTTATTTTTAATTAAATAACAACAGTTATTACAAAATTTAAAAGTTTACTAAAAAATTTAGTTTTAATTAATTTACTAAAAAAGTAAATAGAAAATCAAATCGATATTGGTGATAAGATGTCTTCTTCTTGCCCCTGCTATTTGTAATTATATTATGTTTTTACGACTTGCATAAATTTAAATGGCAAAAGAAAAAGTTTTAAGAACAATTTTTAAAATTTAGTTAGTTTTAGGGGTGTTTGTTAAAAATTCCTAAAAATATTATTGGCTTGTTTTTTAATTAATTTATTATTCTAGATATGATGAGGCAATTTTTAAGGAAGTTTTTTATTTTTATTTTTATGAAAAAAAAATACTTTTACTTTTTGCAACGTCAAGTAACAGTTTGTTAGCCCTAACCAAGGTCACATAAAATGATTGTGTTTGATGTGTTTTATATGGTGTGTACTTTATGCATCTGTTCAAAAAAATGTATTTATATCTGTAGGTTCAGAAATTAGAAATTTCATTTCTGACGAGTCTTTAGAAAAATCTTCCAACGCTTCCGTCGAACCAAGTGATAATGAAGATGAAATAAATAAAAGTCGAGGTCCACGTACAGTAATTAATTTAAAACAACTCGAAGTGTTAAAAGAAACATTCAAAGTAAATCAAAAGCCATCTCGTCTTGAAAGAGAAAAATTAGCAACTAAAACAGGTTGTTTTTTTTAAATCTTTTTTTTGCAACTAAAGGTTTTTTTATATTACAAAAATAATTAGCCATGATTATTATATCTATTGTCACAAAAGTCTGTTACAGCACAAATCTATAATCGTTGAACAGTCTGTTGTAACACAAATGTATCATTGAACAAATAACCATCGAACTAAATTGGTAGAAAAGACTGCTACATTTTTATATATATTTCTGTTACTATTATAAAGTTTTACTATATTTCTTTCAATTTTGGCGTCATTTAGGTTTGACAACTCGAGTTATACAAGTTTGGTTTCAAAACAAAAGATCAAAAGAACGTCGATTTAGACGTCAATCATTGTACGAAAATCGTCTTAAAGTAGCCATGTGCTATGAATTTTTTAAAGCTGAAAGTCGCAATAAAGGTAAAACGCTTTAATATTTTTATACAATGAAGATTGCTTTTAGATCTCCTGGCTCATTGTTTTTTTTGAGAGAAAGATATTATCACTTATATAAAATAGTTTTGGACATTTTTATTTAGCTACTTCAACACAAGAATTTAATCAACCTACATTGACTTGCATCAACGACAACTCTGTATTAAACACAGAATTTTTATTATTTTAAAATAGCAAATGTCAATATCTAGTGACAAAGTTGCAAACAGAATCAAAAATAAACATATTACAACAATATTTGACGATGAATTTTAAGTTGCTCAGCAGTCAATGTTTAAATAGTTATTTAGAATATTGTAACGACTTTAATACATTCTACTATCTTTATTTATCGACCTTTCGGATGCCATAAGTATGCTTTGTCAAACATTTTTAAATATCAAAAAGAAACAAAACATGTCTGAACTGTATAAAAAAACCTTAAAAAGTATTATGTTGCACTTGTAGCACAAAAATAATAAAATTTATCAATTCTGTATTTAGTTTTTATATATTTATTTATTTCTTGTAACATTTATATATTACTATTTATAGTTAAAAATGAAATGGGATATAACATTTCACCAGATATCTTTCAAAAAATGTCATTTTATTTAAAGCATTAGCTAATCGCAATAAGCTGATGCCTAATTAAACAAGAATTTTTTTGGCCGGTAATTAAAAGATATCTGTTAAAATGTTAAGTGTATAAAATATTGAATGTTAAATGTTAATATATCAACATATACATCGTCAAAAAATAAAAACCTAACTAATTATAGTAGACAGTATTTAGTTTTAAACAAACCTTGTGTATTATGCTATTTTATATATCAGATTTTATCGAGTGAGTTTTCTTTGATTTTTTAAGCAAACAGTAGGGTAGAGCGGGGCATATAGAGACACTTAAGAAACAAATAGTTGCGGATAAACTAATCATAGTTAACACTGTTTTTTATAAATTTCATAAAATTTGTTGATATAAGAAAATGAAAAAACAAAAAAAAAAAAATCTAAAAATAAGTTATGACAACCAAAGTAACAAAACTCTAGACTAGCAAAACTTTTACATTTTGCAAGTAGGTGGGGCAAAACGGGACAGTTAAAAAGCATCAGTTATTCGTCAATTAAAAAAATTTTAAAATGATGAAAAATGAAAGCTATCTATTGCTTAAACATGTTCAGCCATTAAACTCTCAAAAAAGTAAGATATCCATAAAAACTACACGCCCATATACCCATACACCACAAAAAAGAAATAACCCATACACAATAACAAAAAAAGAAATAAAATAAAATATCTTTTGTGTGTGTTTTATTATAAAACACCTCCGCTCTACTCTAACCTATATATTATTAAATTGGTAACTGCTACTAAATTTGAAATTAAACAAAAAATTTTATGGATCACATAAACCACACAAAGAATATTCTGAAACTGTTCTGCAACATTTTTGATGAGCTGGCTTATTAGCAATATGCCAATATAGAGCAAACTTAAATACGCCATATGTATCAGCAGCTTTTCTAGTTCTAAGTTTCTTTTTACTCACACTAAAACGGAATTTCATCACGTTTTGGATGATTGATCTTTCTTATAAAATTTTTTCCTTCTGTGTTTACATTAACACTATTAATCATCGAAGTTAAGTTATAAAAATTTATTGCTAAAATTGATTCTTGATAAAAAAAAAACAATACTTAAAATTAAAAATTAAATTATCAAACTGTAAACAGCATTGCGAAATGGTAGTATTATACTCAATTATATAAATACTAGTGTTGTCCCTATATGCCCCACAAAAGTCAATTTACTGAAAATAATACTATTCAAAAAGTTCAATTCCAAAAATTGAACTTTAATAAATAAAGCAATTCGAAAGAGTTCAAGATAAATCTTTTGTCGCTGTATCCCTTAAGAAAATACGCAAATTTTGTTTTTCGCAAACTTACTGATGCATTTTGGTACTTTTAATGCATTTTGGTATTTCTAAAATCAATTTTTTTTTACAATAACAAAGCAAAGTAATTTAAATTGATTTATCAAAAAAAAACTTTGAAAAAAAGTTATTTTTGGCTGAGATATAAGGCTTCAGGCATAACTGTCCCGTTATGCCCCGCTGTCTTAATATGCCCCATTCTACCCTATTACAGATTTTCAAGAGGAAGGGAGTTCTTTTCTTGTTTGATTGTTATGTTAAAGTAACAATATCCCAATAAAAGACGTAAAAAGTGTAAAGTAATATGCTAATCTAAATGACATATAAAAAAATGATGTAATTAAAAAATATCTTTTATGTTAAGAGTCATTTTTTGTAAGAATCAGGCAGTCAATGGAAGTGACCTCGTCTAAATTGCTTGAATTTTTTATATATTGATCAGAATATAGAGAAAAACTGTTAGGGAAAAAAAAAATTTTTTTAAATTTTTAGAAATTTAGTTTTTGCCACCTTTGAACCCATTTTTTTGGCAAGGCAAAAAGTTGCACATAGCTTTTGTAGTTAATATCAGACGTAACCCAAAAGCTCTCTCCAAAAAATATAAAAAAGTTGCGTGACACTGTGCGGTTGGCTAATTATCATAGTTCAAAAGTACAAAATCAATCAGTTTTGTCAATTTTTAATCGGAGTTAGTTCTAGCGGCGAAGTGCTGCATACAATTTTTCTTTTAGGATTTGAAATTATCAAAGGTATTGAGTCTAAAAATGCAAAGAAAGTTATGTGATATCTAAGGCCTATTAATATATTAAGGCTTGAAATTGGAAAAAAATGTTATAGCATACTTACAAAATGAGCTATTACAGCAGAGGCGCTAAGTTTTGTAAAAATATAATCATGTTAAATGGTCAATATAAGATGACCCTAACATAGTTTAAAAAAAAACTCATGTGATCTTTAGATATTAAGTTAAAAATAAAGGTACAAATTGTTAAAAATGATTAAGTACGAAGAGATATTTTTTTGGACACACAGATGAGGTTTTCGCTCACAATAAAATTTCTATCATCCAAAATTAGCAATTAGCATTACACAAAACATTGCACGTAATGTTAAGAAAAAATTTAAGCGTTTCTGACTATGATATAGAAATCATAACAATTGAAATAAATAATAATAAAAAACAATACATAATCAGAAGTGAATTATTTGAATTTACGTCATAACCAAATAACTTGTGGTGATCGAATGGAAGAAGAATCGCTGATATCACGATTGTGGAGAAACAAGTTAGTGGGCGGTTGTTTACTTTACCATAAAAATGTCTTAACTTTATTTTAACAATCTTTAAAATTTGCATAAATAGAGTAGATATTTTATCATTGCTATTGAGAAATAGGTACTGCATAAATAGAACTTGTTTTTAGTTGAGTATGGAACAAAACAAATATTTTTATGAAAACTGTTGTTGCTTTTCAAAAGGAAATTGTGGATCATTTAAAAAACATAAAATTATAAACAAAATGTTCTACATTCATCAGCTGGGAGATGTTGATGTTAAGAAACACCTCATCAACTTAAAGGTAGTTATGTATTTTAAATTTACGCAGACTGTAATATAATTTTTATAATTACATACTTTACAACTTCTCTGCAATAAGATTTTGAGACAAAGTTCTTTAAACAAAAAAAAATAGCTCTTTTAATTAATTCCTCACTCTTTTAATAAATAATCACTAAATTAATCACACTCTTGCAATATTGTATTTTAATAATAACAACAATGTATTTCAAACTTGTAAACATTTTTCGTGAAGAGTCAGATTATAAACAATGCTTTAAATGACACACTTAATAATTGTTTAAAAAATTGTTTTTAGGTCATGCGATTAAACGATAATAATATTTGGGAAGAAAATGGACTTATTGCAAATAGACTTAAAAGAAATCTTGAAAAGGATGAACAAATATGTGCTTTTCACCGGTACACGTTTGGTATTGCATGGAGTCCTCCAAAAACATGCTTTCATCCTCACCATCTAAATATAAAAGGAAAAAAATCTCCCGCTTTAAGGGCGTCACCAATACATGTTGTCATATCAATGTCAAAGCGATACAATGAAGTATTTTCAGTTGGTGTAATGCTGTGTTTTACCCATTTAAAGCAAGAAACTGCTGTATCTAGAGTCAACGAAAACACCAATTTATGTACAGAAACACAAACACAACAAGAACAAACATATGACACCTGCTACTTCAGATGAAGAATTTGATCCCGGTGAAATTAATGTTTCACAGGAGATTTTGGACGAATCTCTAAGAAGCCGTGAGAGTGTAACTGAAGTTTTTAATGCAAGTCCAATAAAATTTAGATTAAAAAGGAAGTTCGAATATCTGGAAGATACTACTAAAGATAAGTTAAAACGCAAGTATGTTCGCCTAGAAAACTTATTAAAGAAAAAATTTGCGGAAGCTGTTGCTCCTGGACAAGAGGAAATACTTATAGATTTTCTTAACAGTAAAAATGTTGATGAAATAAATAGCCCTCTCCCAATTGAAATTATTCGTGCTCAGAAAGTATATAAGCAAAGTGATTCCATGGGAAAGTTAGTTATCCTCTCATTATTAGACCATACCAAGTATACCAAAAAGTTTATAATGAACACATTTGAGTGTACCAAACATCGTATAGAAACAGCAAGAAAATGGCATACATCTCATAAAGGGTTGGCATTTCCAGAGAAGAAAGTATTCGTCCGATCTAGTCTTGATCAAACAAAGTGTGAACATTTCTTAGACTTTATATTTACAAGCGGTATTTTGCATGATGTTGCTTATGGAATAACCAAATTAAAATACGACAGCGGTGAAGAACAAAAGATAGTGCATGCAATACTGACGACAAAATATAGCCACGCTATCATGTTCTATCGAAAAAGTTGTAGTGAAAACAATTATATACCATTATCTGATTCAAGTTTGTGGAAAGTATTGCATGCAATAAAACCTTCAAGTCGAAAAAGCTTAGCTGGATTAGATGATGTTACTGCTTCAGGCATGAATGGTTTTCAAACATTACAAAAATTGGCACAAAGATTTAGTTCTAAATCTCTCGAAGCTGCCCTTGAAAAAGGAAAAAGGTATTTGAAAACAAGTTATCAAACCAATTGTAGTGTCAATGACTCAAACATTTCTTCTCATAGCTCAAAACATGCCTTATCAGATCCATCTGAAAAAAATCTTCAATCCAACACAGAGATATCAGAAGTGGTATGTGCCGATTGCTATGATTTGTGCAAAGCTATCGAGATGATCAAAGAACTAACAATTCAAAATTCTGACGATGCTGATTCTATTTATGATTTGGAAATTGCTGTAAAGGATGTATTCAACTACATAAAACACCTGATGAGAGATTCTCAACAGAAAAAGGCAAAAATCGAAGCTTTTAAGCAATTAAACGATGAACTGCTTTCTGGCTTAAAGATTTTTGTCAAAAAATTCTTCCGGTTTGATACAGAGAGGGCCAAAGAGAGTATTTTGGCAAGAAAGGAATGAGTTTACATGCGGATATATTC